GGGTAGAATGATAACTGTCAATGGGTTCTATGATTGAACGTTTACGTTATCCGTAACGTACATGTTAGGCCGAGTTTTAACAGTAACAAGGCAAGTTCGTGCGATGGAAAACTTTTTCCAACACATTATTGTTATTTTCCGCCTGTTATGTTCTAATTTAACAGGTTTCCATCATACGAACTTTCCTCGTTACTAATAAAATTCGGCCTAACATGTACGTTACGGATAACGTAAACGTTCAATCATAGCACCCAATGAAAAAGTCTAGACACTATGCACAATTTCATTTTGCTCATTTTGTAAACAAAATTCAGGGACGGTTTAACAACATTTTGTGCAACAATTATAAAATAGTACATCGAAAAATAATTAACAAGTATAATTTAATACTAAATCGGAATAAAAGCATAAAAAATCATAAATATAAGCAAGATAATAAAGAGTTGACGCCAAAAAAGCTTACAACAGCCAAAACACAAACAAAAAGCAGAGCTGAACATGAACATAATCGCTGAATAAAGTCGATCCTGGAATTTGTTTACAGTGCTTTAGGGCAACCTCTCCTTGTCATTTACGTGTGTAAGAGCGGAAGGCTGAATGACGCATAATTTCTACACTCGTGATGGATGCGCAGACGGTACCTTATCGTTCTACCCTCTCTATTTCTTTGGGATTGAACAATAACAATGTGAAACAGAAAATGGTTATTATAAATACTCCCGAGTGAGATGAGAAATAAAAATGGCTGCGCCCATAGAGTCGCATCTTGTTCTATTGATACAATATGAACATTGGCTTTCTACCCCACTCCAGTTCATTGGTCCTAAGCGACAGCAGCACACCGTTGTGTTAAACGAAGTTTAAATTATTAAACTAAAATTAAAATGTCGAAATATTAATTTAAACTACGTTCAACACAACGGTGGAATCGATTTTTGAAAACGAGTATCTCTATACTCTGTTTTTAAACTAAGAGGAGCGAATTGAAAAGTCCTATTTACACAGGGAAAAATAACTAAAAAAGTAACTAGATATCATTTTAGCGGTAAATTTGAATTTGCCTCGTATCATTTCAAAACTTTGTTATGAATTCAAAGTTTTAGATAACCAACGAATAAAGATGACACTAAATTGTGCTCATTCCGTTTTTGATTTATAATTATTGTACTTTTATTTTTTCCCTACTTCGTCTCATATCGCAGCTCGGACCAGTATATTGGGAAGAGAATCGGCCAAGCAGCGACCAAATGTCAGTAAATTGAGCAAAATGTCTCCCAACAAAATACAAAATAATTTACGTTTTGAGTTTAACATAGAGTTTTAATTCAATATTTTATTCATTGTTTTATAAGTAACTGTGATTAGAAAATTATATATCTATTATAATAACAGAAAAGAAAGTAAATAGTAGAATTTTCAATTTGATGGAAAAATTAGAAAAATAGGTATGCCAGTTATATTTGTTGAAATGAAATTAAGCACCTATCATTACCTATCTATTACAAAACATATTTAGGAGAAACTGAAAAATACGTAGTTGAAGAAAAGCTTATTTAAAATGAAGAATTTTGGCAGGTACAAAAAAATAAAGTTTATTTATATATTTCTTTATAGGTATAGTTTAATTTGTAATATTTTTTCTTGAAATTAATCTACAAGATTACCATTGTATGGATTTCCTAATTAAATAAGGGTTCTTTCTTCAGGTAAAATGTAGCAAAGTTCTGAAGTACGATAGGATATGTTTGCAGAGTGTTTTGAAATGAAATAAATCAAATCTATACGAATTTTGTCTCCACTAACAAGATGTTATATTCAACAGTCGAAAGTGTAAACTTGTTGGCAACAGCTTATTAAATGTATGTAGAAGTCCAAGAAAGTGCAATGGTACCAGCTTTTACCATAATAATAATAATGGTTTTTATCATTCTCCTGTTTTTTTGTAGATATGATTTATAATTGTTGCTTAAATTCCACATTGTGCATCAGAATGTCTTTGGTCTTCTTGAAAACATATTTTTATACAATATAAAGCAGATGGTATATTTTTTTAAGACAGCCTCCAAGCCTTTTGAAAATTAAATGTTTATTTGCAGGTAAGATATCTATCTTAATTTTGTATGATCATTTATTGTATAGACAAATAATTAAATAAAAATTATTAAGGCATAAAAAAGGTAATTTGTAACTTTGTGTCAGCAGAAGGATTTCCTACACCCAATTTAATATATTTTTTACAAACAAATAAAAGGTCTTTAGTATGATCCATAGATATTTTTAATAATTCAGCACTGCATATGTGTTTCGGAACCTTCTGGTGCAGTCACAGCTTTTTAAAATTTAAAAAAACATTTAGGAACATAAACACTTTAAAATGATCATGGACGAAACCCATATAAGGTTTCGTTGTATCATTTTGTTTATGAGCAATTTTTACATTATATCTAGAGAACATTTTTGACACTTGTTTGGAAAGTCCTTTTACATATAGCAATTTAATGTTTAAAAAAGGGTGCCACACCAAATGTTACAGTGATAATACTTTATTTATGCTTTTGACTATTTAAGTACCAAGCTATTTATTTAAAATATTAAAACAAGGTATTTGTTTTAGGTTAAATAATGAAAGTTTTGGAGGCCACAAATTATGGACATATTCAGATGGCAATAGCACTTTTAAATATATCCAAAATATTTTGTAGTTTTAAATGTTACTTAACAATTTTGTAAATGGTTTATTTTCAAATAAATAAAATTTACTTTAATATTTAGTTACATTTTAATCATTTTGATTAGAACTTCATCAATTTTTAGTTAAAAAAAAATTAGTAATAAAGTTGTAATTTTTTTTAAGTAGAACACCAAAAAAGCAATATTTACCAATTTATAATATTGCGGAAAAAATGCTACCATATATTCCTGAGGCTTAAATGTAATGATTTAGCCCAACTTATATCAGTCCAAAAGTAGATGATTTCAGAAATACAGAGTGTTGAAAGTTCAATTTAATTTTTCATAAATAATTTTTTTAATAATTGATGTATTTTTAAAATATTTGGTTAAGAGGGGTGAACAATTTAAAGCTACTCCCATTTTTATTGTAAAATTTAAAGGACGCCTTTTCTATAAATCCAGATTTCTCAAAAACGGCTTCTCAAATCTACTCTTACCACTTATACCTTGCAGAACAAGAATTTTTATTTAAGTTAAATACAGAGTGGCGCTTAAATGTGTGTAAGATACAACAATTTTACAATAAAAATGAGAGCAGTTATAATTTTTGTATACTACACTGTAGTTTTGTATTTTTTTTTTAATATGGGTTAGAAAAACAACACATGAATAGTAGTATCTTTATTTTGTAAATTTGTTATAACATTTTAATTAATAATAAAGTTTGAAAAATAAAACAAAAATACAGAAGGTACCTATACAACATAATAAGTGAAAAGACAAAGTACATCTTGACATTTACATTGAAACAGAAACAAAAAACACTAAGTACTCAATATGTTAATCTACAATTATCAATTCTATAAGATTTAACTCACAGTGATATGGGGCAGCCACTACACAACTTTATTGGTTTCTTTAGCCTTTACATTGACAACATTCAAATTATGTGCATCTTTATGTTGCCAAATTAGGTGTAAAAGTTGATATCACTTCATATTTAAATAAATATAATATTTTTAGTATTGTAATCATTCCTGTCAGATTTTCTTGATGACAAAGGAATTTTTTCAACTTTTTGACTATGATATGATACATTTTCCATCACAATCATAGCATCATTAAAAAACTTTGTAAAAAATGTAGAAAACCAATTCTAAAATACTTCGGATTTCGTCTCGTCAAGGTAAATGTATTTTCTACAAAACCTTCAAAATTAGCATGTATATTAAGGCACCTGTTTTTGGCTTTCAGGCTTGTTGATAAACCTTATTATGATCTTCATCAAAGTAGAAGCTTAGCCTGTTTTCTTTTCTATATTGTTTGATGGATTTTAAATCTACGTATATAGTGTTCTATCAATACACTTTGACAATTTCTTTTCAAATATCTAAAAAAATATATACATAATAAATAAATAGTACATTTGACTGGTCAAAGTTACAAACTTACTTAGTTATTATATCTCAAGAAAGTATATAAAGATGAATAATATATTTGTGGGTTTCAATTCTTGCAAAATTTTATTCAACTCAGATAACTCATTTTTGAAAAAGAAATCCTGTACTAATCTTCAAATAGCATTTATCATCATCAAATGTTTTTAGAACTCCTCGTCTTCCATAAATACTTTTTAGACTAGATATTGTTCCATTATTGCAGTATTATTTCAATAATCGGTAAGTAGTTGACTTTGACCTGTAAGAAAAATATTGAGTATTTAATATTATTTTTAATTTGAAAGTAATGAGAAAAACTTACCGGTAGCTTGAGAAATTTTGGATATAACATCAACAATTTTGGTTTTCGTATTATTATCCAATACCTATTTGTACATATTTATTATTTACTGCTTTTCTGAGAGACTTGAATAGCCTAAACTCATTCGTTTTCATTGTTTTGATGGACTCCGCGAGGAACTGTTATAATAGTATTCGATGTAGAAGGATCCACAATCGTAAAAATTCAATATAATCGCTTACTAAAGTTTTGAAGAGAACTGTTATTAAAGAAATAAAATAAAAAACTAAGTTATAATGATGAGATATCAAAGCAATAACAAAACTTAAATTATGAAATGTCAGAATAGAAAATAGAACTGTCAACAGTAGCTTAAAAGTGATGTGTGAAACTGACTTCAATCTGACCAATTAGAAGTCTACAGAATTGCCAACTTAAATTCAAATCGCTCCTCTTAGTTTAAAAACAGAGTATAGTCTTCATAATAACGAGTTGTGTCAAATCGAGATTTAGGAACGCAGCCAAAAAGTCAAAAGTCACGTGGTATTTTTTGACTTCTGACTTGACACTTTTGACTTTTTTGATCTTGGAAATAAAACAGTTCTGTGAAATAAAAAATAAATAAAAATAAAACTTTCTTTGATTTAAAATTTAATTAATTTTAAGTACTATTGATAGCCTTTAGTTAATTTTAAATAATAAGAAATGCAAAGAAGAGTGGTTGTTACAGGTATCGGCGTTATATCTCCCGTTGGAACTGGAATAAAAGAAGCATGGAAAAATATTATAGCCGGAAAATCGGGTATATCAAAATTGGAAGATCCTGAGTATCAGACTTTGCCCTGTAAAATTGCCGGTTTTATTAAAGATAATGGCTCAAAAATTAATTTATCGAATTACTTCTCTAAATCAGAGTTGAAAACCATGGCACCTGCTACAGCTTATGCACTTTTAGCCACAAAACAAGCCTTAGAAGATTCAAAATTGGACAAAATGGATGAAGAAACAAAATGTAACACAGGGGTAGCTATAGGTATGGGCATGGTGGATTTAGAAGATATTTGTAAAACATATGAAGCCTTGAAGAAGGGTTATCATCATGTCAGTCCCTTTTTCGTTCCAAGAATTTTGCCTAATATGGCTGCAGGACAAATTAGTATAAAATATGGCTTAAGAGGACCAAACCACTCTGTTTCTACAGCTTGTGCTACTGGGGCACACGCTATAGGAGACTCATTTAGATTTGTAAGAAATGGAGATGCTGATATTATGGTTTGTGGGGGTAATTACTTTATTGAAAAATAGGTAACCCTAATGTACAGTTTTAATTTTTATTGTGTTATACATTTTCTTGATTAACCTTTAACTAGTCTTTATCAATAAATCTGGTTACTTTCATTAGTAACGTAATAACAAAAATATATAGGTCAGGTGGGATAAGTGAGAAGTCGGGGAAAGTGGGCATCAATTAAAAATTGGAGGGTAATCCTTGAAATGCTGTTACATCACTGCAGAATATTCAGATAATTTTATTTGCAAAAATAGTTGATATTCTGAATAAAAATGATCTCAAAGTTGGGGGTTCTAGGATGTAGTTTAGGAGTTCTTAATAATTTTTTCTCACACGCAGTTAACAGTCTTAATGTGGGTCTATTTCTGATTTGCCAAGTACTGAAGATACCATACTATTGTAGAGTGATTATGAAAATATAGAAGAGTTAATAAGAGACTATGATGAACTTAAGATGAAGAAAAAGAACTAGAAGGAAGGCTGTAACTGAGAAAATGGACATTAGTAGAATTTGCTACAAATAAATATTTATTTGGACAGATAGTGAAAATAGAAGTAGACCTGAGCATGTTGTTAAAAAAATCAGAAGGAGACAACAGGACCTTGTTTGACCTTTTCAAGATGATGAAAGTGTAGTCTCAGAGAATGATATTGCTATTGTTCTACCTACATTTATCTGTAACGTGTGGAGGGTGGGTTACCCCCCCCACGGCACTTAGGCCCATTGCACATCCTCCTAAGATGATAGGCACCTCCTAGCTCGTGAGCCAGCCTATAGATTTAATGTAGTTGACAACGTCACCAAGAGGTGCTTCTCTTATATCGGCCGGTGTTAGCCGATACTCGCCGAACATAAATCTTCTAATATATGAGAGCATCATAAAGAATATGCTCGATGGTCTTATCTTGTTCGCGCCTTCTGCAGAGTGCGGATTCTGACAGCCCCATGATATGGAGATGCTTGAGACTAGGTGCAGATTCTGTCTAGTCATAGTCAAGTATTTGTTTGCTGCAGTGTTGTCAGGATAACTTAAGAGTTCCCTGGCAACTCTGCAGTTTCTTGTTTCATCCCATCTTTCCTTGAATTTTACAAGGGAATGTTCTTTAATTAGGTCTGTCACTACCGATTTTGTTAGGCCAATAGAAGGACCAGGTCCAAAAAGTATTTGGTTGGCTGCTTTCTTGGCAGTGAATCAGCAAGACGGTTACCTTTTGATGTGGCATGACCTTTGATCCATCTTAAGGTAACCACATTGTTGATGGATACTTCTGCCAAAGCTTTGTGACATTTTAGTACTAACCCTGAATAAATTCGTGGTCTGTTCAGGGTGAGTAGTGCTTGTCTGCTCTCTGAATAGATGAGCATGTTCCTTCCAGTGATATTGTTTCTGGTTATTTCTCTTGCTGCTATGAAAATCCCCATTAGCTCTGTTTGAACTACACTGGCACCATTGCTCTCAGCCCATTTTATGTTTAGGTTTAAGAATCTGGAGTATATTTCACTTCCTGAGCCTTGTTTTGTTTTAGAAACATCGGTGTAGATATGAATCGTACCTGCCACTTCTGGCTCTTCTATTTGTTCTATTATAACTTTATATGGCTTATGGAAGATATATCTCGGCGAGATGGAGTCCATGTTCGCTTAAAGTAGTGGGAGCGTATCGAGCGCCTCCTGCCAAAAGTGACGTCTCGCCTCACCAGATCCTACATCAGGTTCTATTTGAACCGTCCACATGGTCATTGTCGTCAGAGCAACCTCCTTGATGTAAATATTAAGGGGAGTGAGACTAAGAATGACTTCCATCGCTCTGGTCGGTGTTGTTTTCTTTGAATTTGTTCTAGTTGTTAATTTTTGGGTTTTCGGTACCCAGACAACTGCACCGTATGTTAGCATAGGTCTTATGATAGACGAGTAAGTCCATGCGACGACTTTGGGGAAGAAATCACAGGTGCGCCCCACGGTTCGGCGGCATTGTTCATAAGCAATGTATGCTCTTTTAACTTTGTTTTCTAACGCCCGTATGCACCGTACACGTTTAATCCAGATCAAGGGTTTAATCGTGTTTAGTACCATATTTAGCTATGGTACTAAACGCGATTAAACCATTGATCTGGATTAAACGTGTACGGTGCATACGGGCGTTAATGCGCGTTCAATGTTAACTTGCTGTCAAAGGTGAGACCTAGGTACTTCACCTTTGTTGCAAAGTTTAATTTTGTGTTTAGGAGTTCTGGAGGTTTTAATTCCATTTTCATCCTTTTCCTTGTGAAAAGGACCATTTCTGTCTTCTTAGGATTGATAGACAGTGAATGGTCCTTGCACCACTGTTCTATAATTTTTGGAGCTACTTGCATTCTTTCGCAGAGTATGTTCTCAAAATGTGCATCTGCATATGCTATTGTCTAGTGACTGTCATTATTGAGGCGGCTGATGAGGGTGTCGAGGACCATATTCCACAGTCGAGGTGATAGCACCCCTCCCTGCGGACATCCCCTCGCAACCAAGCCTCTTATATTTACATCTTCTATACTTATGTTTACTGCTCGCTTTGAGAGCATGTTATGTATCCATCCACTAACTGTTTGAGGAACATCCCTGTTGGTTAGTGAGTGTATTATCTTTGAGAAGGTGGTTTTATCAAAAGCACCTTCTATGTCTATGAAAACACCCAAGGCGGACTCCTTATTGTCCAGGGATCTTTCTATCTGGCCAGCAACTAGATGAAGGGCTGAATCAGTAGATATGCCTGGGGTGTATGCATGTTGGTTTGGGTGTAGTGGTGTTGTAATCACTGCATCCCTTATGTACCTTTCGCATAGCTTTTCCAATGTCTTCATGAAAAACGATGTCAGACTAATTGGTCGATATGTTTTTGGAACAGTGTAATCCATCCTTCCTGGTTTGGGTATAAATACCACTTTTACCTCTCTCCATTTTTTGGGGATATACCTCAGAGCCAACAAGGATCTGAATATACCCACCAGGTGCGGCGTGAGTTCTTCCAAACCCCCACTGAAGTAGGGCTGAATAGATACCGTCAGGTCATGGCGATTTAAATGGAGAGAAGCTGGATATTGCCCATCTAATTTTTTCATCGTCTACAATGTGTTTGGCAGTTTACCAATCATAGACAGATGGATTGTATTCTTTCTCTGCCCAGTCGGCCACGTCTGTGATGACCGAGTCAGGGAAGTGTGTTGTCAGCAGCAGTTTGATGATATCTTCGAGGTTGGCAGTTTTCGTGCCATCCTCTTTGATTAGCGCACCAATGCTTCACTGTGGATCTTTTGAGAGAGCTTTTTGAAGCCTCGCTGCCTGCGGGAAATCTTCGATTTCTTCGCAGTAGGACCTACACCTAATGATTGGTAGAAGAGGAGACCCTGAAATGTAATATCGTCGCCCTAATAAAAATTATGCCTATCTCTGTTTTGGAAAATTTTACAGGAGAGAAGAAAAACGTTATTTTTTTAACAAATACATTATTACTGTTCTTCACATCTAATACATATAACTTTAAATGTAACACAAAAAAATATTCCCACGTGTTACTCTTTTAAACAAAATTTCTCTTTGGCAACTGTCAAATCGGAAATCAGCAAAATTCTATTATTTTAATTTAAAATTAACCGGTTAAGTAGACACTCTGAAGTTTTGTCAGAAAGTGGCTAGACATTATTCTAATAGATGGTATCTAAATTCCATTTTCGCAACAAAGTGGAGTTAGGCACGTTTCTTATTAGGGCGACGATATTTAATTTGATAATTATAACATTACTTAAACTCATACTAATATATACAGTAAGTTAACCGTTGCATCAAGCAAAATAAATATGAGACTGAATTATATTTGAATCTGAGATGAATTAAGAGAGTAATTGGATTAACCATGCCCTTTTGATAGTAAGGATGGGATATTGCAGTCAATAGCATTGTTCATAACTTTTTCCTGGAGTCAGGATTGGAAAGCCAATATTCTCTATATTATCTGTATCTGTAATGTGTGGAGGGTGGGTTACCACACGGCACTTAGGCCTCATTAGGCCCATTGTGTCTCTATATTATACATACATACTTATTTCAGAAGTTTTGTTTTTATTTACTTAAATCCGAGTAAAAAGGGTTGTTTTTAAATAATTTTCTCTCAATAGACTAAATTACATTTGAGTTCTTTTGGTTTTGTCCCAGTAACTATAGAAAACATTGTAGCAAAAATAATCCATGATACATATCTCAAAACGGAAAAAGTTTATTTGAAATCTGTCATTGTATTACTCTCTTTCCCCATGCCCAGCTTACCCAGAAAAGCTGTAAGTTTGTTTTTTATTTCATTCGTAGGTGCCAAGATAGATATAATGTGCAATTTTAAGAGTTTTTTTTTTACAAAGTGCATAGTCAATTATCAAGTATTTGAATACTGAAACCTATAGTAAACTTGACCAAATGTATGGTGTACAAATTTTAACTATATAAGCTTCTTGAATCCAGAACTATGAAATTACAAAGTCAAACTTTTAAAATTATGGGTCTCACTTACCCCACCTTACCTTATGCCTTTTTTGCCATAATAATTAGTTAGCAGCATTTTATTACTGTTTAATATTTTCTAAAATTTTTTCAATATTTTATTTAAAAAATTACAATAAGTTTCTATAAAGTCTATTTTTTACTTTTCCTAATCATCTTACCTATATAATTCATGCATTGTATGGTACTAAAAATCTAAAACATCTTAATGACTTATGTAGTATCGAAATAATTTAGATTAGTCTAATACTTTGAAACAAAAGTAAATAATTAGGAAAAAATTAGATAGTTCTGCTAGATTTGTTGAAATATATGATAGAAAATTGTATTAAATGGCTGTTTAAATTATTATTTAAGCATTGGATTAAAATACAATACATAAAATTACTAAATAAAACAACCGAATACGGTCCATAAACCAAAAAGGGTATATAATTTTGCTTGAGAATTATTAGAAATTTATATTCATGTTATTAAATTATAAAAATGAGAACTAAAAAAATTATATAGCAGATTGGACTCCTAAATCTTGGTTAACAGCAACGGCGAACAACTACTATCCTAATTTTGTTTACAAAAATCGAATTGCAAAAATTCAGTTTCATTTACGTAGCACTTAGTTGTCTAATTATTATGAGAGTGTATGGGAAAGTATTATTACAAGGATTATTTGTGGTTATAATTTGGTATTGACTAAACGTAAGCACACAAAAGGCTTTCAAAATTACATCTCGTGAAAGCAAAAATGTTTTAAGGGTTTTTGTTTTAAAGATTTTTTATATTTATATGCGCGCCACTGGGAATACTTCGTGATATTATGTGTATTGAGAATATTGAAAGCTTTAAATTTGTGCAACGATAAGGCAGCACTCTACAGAAAGGTTTAAGTAAAAAAGGTGGGAAATCTTACCGTTTAAAAACTATTAAAACAAAAAGCAGCAAATTTTCATAGATTTAATGCAGAATGGCGCGTACATGTTTTTTTTATTGCTTTTAAAAATTTTCAAGCCTTTTGTAGATTACAAAAAATTCAAGGTTTCTCCACCCTAAGTTTTGTTATTGTTGGTATTTCCTGAAAATTTCACAAAAACCGGACTAAAAAAAGAATCAGAATGAATTTAAAATTTTCAAGGTGTTCGGTTTGCTCAATGCTAGTTATCAGTTTTCTCGCAAATATTTTAGATAGATAGATATTTATTGATGTAAAATAAAAATAAATATTTTACGTGTCAATGTTAAAAGTATAAAAAAAAAGATATATAGGTATAGATACAGAAAATAGTTACAATTTAGAAAAATATAGACAAAAAAAATATATAGATACACATAACATATTAAAACATACTTAAAAAAAAAAGATATATTCACAAAAAGGTTTACACATTACTCATATGTGATAAGAATTCGTCAATGGAATAAAAACAGTGACTCGACAAAAATTTGCGAATTCCTATTTTAAATAAATTAAAAGATGAGTTTTTATAAGCTTGAGGTAGGGAATTGTACAGTTTAATGCTGATATATCTATAAGAATCATGAAGTTTGGTTAATCTGTAATTAGGAAAAGATATATCATAATTTCCTCTGGTGCAATAAGAATGTTTAGAGCTCTGTCTTATAACATTATTATTACCAATAATGAAAAGTAGACCAATTTTTAAATGTACAATGTCTAATTGAAATTGTAGCTGTCTAATTGCATAAGTAGCTTTTGCTAAACGACTTAGTAAACTTTGAATGGGATATTTAAAATCTAGTTTCGGGTCTAAATATATTCCTAAAAGTTTAACCTGTTCCTCACTTTTAGCAATGATAGAAAATGACATTTGCTGAGTTTTTGCTTCGTTTAATGTAAGACCATTGCTACCAAACTGATTATTTTTGACATAACTTCTGCTTTATTTAACCTTTCTATTGTATCATTTATTTTTATCTGTAGTAATATATGTTGAATCATCGGCATAACCTGTATGATATTACTTAGATTAATTGACAAATTAAAGTAAATGATAAAAAGTAAGGGTCCAAGAACAGAACCATGTGGAACTCCATACAGTACTGAATTCTTGCCCGAAGTATGCTCATCAATTTGAACATATTGAGTTCTTTTTTGCAAATAAGAGGTAATAAGCTGTAATGGTGTCCCTCTAACTCCATATCTCTATAATTTTAATAATAAAATAGTAGAGGTAAATACTGATTTATGCATGAACATACTCGCACAAACCGTCCCCTCAAATTAGCAGGTGTCTCCTTTTTTCTAATGCAGCAGCTGATGCGACATCTCTGCCTGCGAAATAATAAACACAATCTGATTGATTGCAATCAAAGAGCTTAAATATGAATTAATGGATTAGTCTAGTAGTTTTTTCGTCGTTATTTAAGAGAAAAACAAAAAATGAGGTGTTTTTAAAAATATAGAATTACAGTCATGTGCAAAAAAACTTAATAAATTTAATTACAAAAATCTTGTATTCGTTTCTGTGTTCTTTAATTCTTGCTTTTAATATGTATATTGTATTCGTGTTAATATTTGAGTTTTTTTATAACAAATTTGAATCTTTGTTTGAGCTAATGAAATCCAGAACTCAATTCTCTAAAAAAAAAGAACATAAAAAACCGTTTTTTAGGTACAGAAGCATGCATATCTCCTATGTCTATTGCTGGATTCTGTAGATTAAGAGCCCTAAGTACATCTTATAATGATAATCCTGAGAAAGCCTCCAGACCTTTTGATAAGTTAAGAGAAGGATTTGTAATGGGCGAAGGAAGTGCGGTTTTAATTTTGGAAGAGTTAGAACATGCCCTTAGTAGGAATGCCCATATATACGCTGAAGTTCTAGGTAAGTTAATTTCAGTTTTTTATTTAAATATATATTTTTTAATTAATTTCAAGGTTACGGACTATCTGGTGACGCTTCTCATTTAACAGCACCTCGTTCGGATGGTAGAGGAGCTTTCCTGGCTATGGAGAGAGCTATAAGAGACTCGAAAATAAAAACTACAGATGTAACTTATGTTAATGCCCATGCCACTTCTACTCCCATTGGAGATACTATAGAAGTTAAAGCAATTAAGTCCCTGTTTGGCGATTTCTGCAAAAATATAGCAGTATCTTCAACAAAAGGAGCTCATGGGCATTTACTGGGTATTTATATATTTACTTTTTTTTTCTACAATCACCATATAATGACAAACTTTTGTTACTTGATACTATCTAAAAAATGTTTATTGGTTTAGATCAGAGGTTCCCAAACTCTTTTGTTTCATAGACCACTTTCAAAATTTTGCTGGATCCGGTAGCTACATCACTACCAATTTCTAAATCTCGAAAAAAAAAAAGTGAAGATTAGATATATCTATGGAAACTTGCGTTTTAACGACGAAATGAGTTTTCAAAAAAAAAAAAAAAAAAAAAAGGTTAGAATTGATTGCTTGTTAGGGTTAATAGGGTTAAAATTATTTGATAATAAAGTCGACTAAACAAATTTTCAATTAAATTTTAATTGATTGTGCTGTGAGTGGATGTCAAAAAAGCAAAGTTGGCCAAACGAAAAAGTGACTCCATCCAACTTTACTTTTTTGAAATCTACAGTGGCTCACAGCACAAGAACCAATCAATTCTCACAAACTTTATTTAGAAAACGTCCCATTCTGAGTGGTAAAAAGAAATATAGTATATTTCTATATTAATCGTTGTAAGACGTCCCAATTTTTTTTTACCCTTTCATTGTGAATTTTATTGCTTATTTTTAAATGATTGTCCAAACTATGTTCAATGCGATAGGTCCCAAATGTTTTTTCTTTATTTGTAGCACTTATATGAGATTTACCGACTGAGTTCCAATGTGATTTTTCAACTATATTAAAAAGTAGCCAAGGCCAGCAAAACAATTTCTTCAAAGTTTGCAGCCGGTTAACCATTCATACTTTTCATAGAACCCTACGTGAAAATACCTGATAAATTTCTTTGCTGATTTTTCTACTTTCGTCTCTAAATTGATAGGATCCTTTAGTCTACTAGAATTAATAATATCAAATTACTTTGGATGTTTTTTTTTTAATTATTGTCTTATTTGTCAGGCGCAATATTTTTGTCGGACATTGCACAATTCTGTTATTAAATGCACTTATTTATCAGGGATGATTTTTATCCAACATGTGGTAATCAGCAAACCACTCGCTGTAAAAATGATATTCAGTTCATCGTACTGAAAAAAGTACGCTTTAAATTTGGCGGTCACTGTGATCGATTGGCAGAGGGTGTTATTTATTAAGGTTTATCTTACCCGACCAAAAAATAAATCTTAATTCTTCAGATTCATTTAAATTTAAACAGTAGCCCAGCTGAATGGTTAACCGATTAGGCCGATGTACGTATTATGTATACAAAATTGATTTGGTCCAGCATCGAAAAGGTTCCAATGTGAGTCTACGGTACGCTCGTCAAAATGCTGACATGGGCCTAGTTTCTTTTAATTATCTTTCTTATTTGTAGTTACAGAAAATTATAATGTTTAGCGCTAGTTTTCGACAATTTTTGTGCTATCGTAACTCCATCTTGCGTTAGCGAAACGTAACTTTTGTAGAGTAATATAAATCTTAAACAATCCTAAGAAAATTAATTATGTGGCAATTAGAAAATATATCCTAGTTATTTAGACATTCATCGCCGTATTAATTCGTTATGTTTCGTGTTTACGAGGATGGGATGAAAAGTTTCCGGCCTAACATAGAACACAACACAATAGTGACTGAATAAGAATTTATTTTTCTACATAGTCCCCTTGTAGAGTAATACATTTGACCCAACGATGTTCAAGCGATTGAATACCGTCACTGTAGTCTGATTTACCCAACTCGTCAAAATAGGCGTTTGTGGCTGCAATTACTTCTAAATCGGTGGAAAAATGTTTGCCAGCAAGAAATTTTTTTAGGTTTGGAAACAAATAAAAGCCTGACGGGGCTAGGTCTGGCGAATACGGAGGATGGTTTAACAGTTCAAAGCCTAGCTGATGAATTTTAGCCATTACAAGAACGGACTTGTTGCAAGGTGCATTGTCCTGATGAAACAGAATTTTCTTTTTTGCCAAACCAGGGCGTTTTTCGCTTATATTCTGCTTAAGCTGGTCCAGTAAGTCGGAATTTATTGTTCTTCCTTTTCGAGATAATCTATTAGGAGTATCCCTTTAGCATCCCAAAAGACCGTTGCCATGACCTTTCCAGCAGACGGTACTGCCTTTGCCTTCTTTGGAACTGGTTCGTCCTTTGTCGTCCACGGTTTGGACTGTTGTTTAGTTTCAGGGATATAATGATAAACCCATGTTTCATCAACCGTAATAAATCTACGCAAAAAGTCCCCTGGATCACGTCTAAACAGTGCCAAATTCTCCTCTGAAATGGTAATCCGCGTGAGCTTCTGATCTGATGTGACCAAACGCGGCACCCATCGGGCGGATAGCTTTCTCATACCTAAAACTTCACACAAAATATAGTGAACTCGCTCTTTTGATGTGCCCACAGTCTCAGCTACCTCTTCCAATTTTTATCTGCGATCTTTTAGAATTAGTTTGTGAACGGTTTGCACCATTTCTTCAGAAGTTGCCGTTTTTGGCCTGCTAGAACGCGGAGCATCATCAGTGCTAGTACGACCACGTTTAAGTCCGCTATCCAGGTTTTAACTGTGGTAAATGAAGGAGAAGATTCCCCTAGTGTAACATCTAGTTCAGCTTTTATTTCCGTCGGCGATAATCCTTTGATATGGAAATATTTAATCACCGCTCTTATCTCGTTTTTTTCCATATTTCAAAAGTGGCGCACTTTATAAGATTTTAAAATACCCAGGACACAAACTACTTGACGCACTCACTTTACACTTCAAGCGTATACTGACGATAAGCAAGGCTACACAGACACGTTGGAACAGGAAAGCAAATCGGGCCTACTATAGGTTAGGCCGGAAACTTTTCATCCCATCCTCGTAGTATCAAGTTATCTTTCAATTGCGTGGTCATAAAATTGACATTTTCAGAAATCGCGTAGTAGAAAACGCAGCGCGAATCCGTGAATTTTTCGAGTAAAGTGTGCTAGACTCGTAAAAATTAAACCATTCACAATATTTTAAATTTGTCCTTATTCAGATCTATTGTGAGACTAAGTTTTAAATATGTGGTAATCAAGCAAAGCAGGGGCGGACGTACTGTGGACTATAAGGTGTTGGGCAGTGACAATTTTGTCATAGGGCTGACCCCTTATAATTTTCAATGAGGACTTTCTTGCTAAATTTAGAAACACCCTGTATAGTAATATTATTAAGCCTATTCTAGATGTATATTATTGGAAATTAGAACTAATGTTGATTTCAATTTTTGCTTTCTCATTAATTTTGTGATTGTAGAAAAAATATATGCAACACAGGCGAGGTGTTGTCAAATTCGGTCAAAGGCACCGTTTGACATTCGCGTCGTGTGTGAAAAACATTGTTTGCACTAGTTTCATAAATAACAATTTTCTGTAGGTGCCGCAGGGAATTTGGAATCCGTTTTTACTATAAAAGCTCTGGAAGAAGGGATTTTACCACCAACAGCTAACTTAGAAAACATTGAGGATAGTGATATCAATTTTGTTCCTATTAGTAGTCAAAAATGGAAAAAATGCGATAGGAGAATAGCTTTAAAAAATGCTTTTGGATTTGGTGGAACTAATGCTAGTTTGTGTTTTGGACAATATATTTAAATACATTGTAAAATAAAGTTTTTTTTTGTTGTGTTGGTCTTATTTAAAATTGTAGTTGTAATGAAACAAAAAAGCATACTTGATCAATTTTATATTTTGATTCTTACATAGAATAAGGTATGACTGCATATAGTGCATATCAAAGACCTATACAAAAACAATTCTATTTCTTTTGTAACAATAATAACCCATTATGGAATGCAACAAATACATCATAAATATATTGTAACTGTATTATATTTTCTTTTTTATCTTGAACCAGTATATTTGGGCGGGGTGTACCACAAATTGTGTCTGCTTAGCTTCAGTAGTTCAAATGTTCTATTCTAATATTTTATTCCTACTATGAAAGGTAAAAAAAAAAATCAAAAATATATATAACAAATTATCAAATTTGGCGTTATTTTCTTTATTTTAAACATGGAAAAAATGGACAGTAAGAAAAACATCAGGACATTTGAACTACTGGAGAGTGATGTTCACCCAAGACAAACGCATATAATTTAACTAGAATTTCCTAATTTTCGTTTATTTGTGCAACTGTAAATACAAAAGAAAAACAAAACCAAAATAATAAAAATTAAAAACATTTTTATGTATAATTTCAAACCGAACAGTTATAAAAATCATCGAGCTACTGAAAATACTTTGAACAAAAAGTAAAGTAAGAATCTGATGTCGTTTAGATATTGTATTGAGCCAATCAGATAAAAAATTGGGTCAAATGCGCATTGGCAAATTACTTTTTCTATTCCTTCAATTTAAATTGCAAATTAATTAAAATTACTTGTAAATTATATTTTTATGTTTTGCCAAATATGTAAACTTTCGATGAAACAGGTTAAATAGCACGCTGTCATTATCCTATTTTTATATCTGCTAAACGTCATTAGTTTCGTTTGTATTACTCTTTGTGCAAAGTCATGTGCTGTTTTCAGTAAACAATATAGGGAAATCTAGTAGATTGTAAACAAAATTAGTTTGAAGCATATTTGGTTTGTAGGAGTATATGTGGCACTGGACCGTCCATACAGAATTGGGCGAACCTCTTTTGAAGGGTCTCGCGCAATTCCTGGCGCTTTTCGTACACTTGCCTATTGTTACTTTTAAATTCCCTAACTTCCTCCGGTGTTATATAACATTCATCATCGTCTTCGCTGTATACCTGCAAATATATTTAATCAAAAAAATGGTAGACAGTTATTGATTATGAATTATCCATCTTTTATCTTCATTATTATCCCATATACAAAAAATAAAAATTGAGTGGCTATGACAATTTTGTTAAAATGTCATCAAAAAAAGCACATTGGCATGCAAATTTCACGGGATACAACAAAATTTTTTTTTTTATGAGAACCCCGTATATTATAACAGTTTTAAAATAATTTCAAAAATATACCATATATTACTGTAGGAATTTCGACTACAAATATATGACGACACATTTCTAATGAGCAACCCGGGTGTCACGTTTCGCAACATTCGCGCGTCACAATCATTTTGGGACGTAGGAATACGGTCGCTAGGCAAGTTGTTGTTTTTTGGTCAGAAGTCAACGGAAAAAGTCAATTATTCCTGTAATCTCTAATTTTTTTTTATATTCAAAACCCTGTATTAGTTAATAGAAAGAATAGTTGTAAAAGAATTGTTAATGTGTTCCTGTCCACGGTAATATTATACAAATACAAAAGTTCGCAGATTTTTTATTGACGCAGCTAGTTTTAAAACCAAAGATTCGAGCTGTGGCCAGTCTCAGAACTGGCACTTGTGATGAGGATATAGCCAGCATCATCATCCCCATTCAATTACCAGTATCTTTTTCGAATAATTACTCTTTAAAGATGAAAAATATTGCTCTGACCTCATCCCTTTTTTGAGTCATCATGTTATTGCCAATGTGATCTGTATTTAATTGTATTTGATGTATAAGAAAAGCTCCCAAAATGATTAAAAAAGGAACATCCTCCAATTAAAGGGAATACAACTATAAAAATTCAATAAACTCTTCACAAGAAAGTTGAATTAAATAACTAAATTTTAAATATTTTGAGATATTCATTTTAGTCTGTCTTTGCAGATATTTTGTTCATATAAAGTACAATACCACCATAGAATTTGATATTTGTCATAAATCTATAAAGCGAGTGAAACAACATTAGTGTACATAATGAAGTTTACTATAAATTTTTATTATATACCTGCTGTTGCCTGCACATTCCAGTTTGAATCGATAGCACTATGGATGTATGAAGTTTTTATACATTCTACGTAGTTTAATATCAATTTTTTTTATGTTATTAATAAAAATAAGTCTAGCACTAAACAAATAAAATCGCAGTTTATCAATCAATTAATACTAGTTGACACGTAAAGCGTAACTGTATTAGATTCATCTGAGGACAACATACTACTTAAATAATCAGTCACCACCAATAGCATTCCTTTAAATATTTTAGATTCTCTTTCTGCCTATCTTCTCTTCTTATTTATACTCTTAGGGTGCAAATAACTAAACTAAGATATTCGACGTTGAATTATTGGATATGGTATATTTTTAAATCATATATTTTTTGTTTATCTCGTAAAATTTGCAGGTAACTGTTTTTGAAATCATTTCAACAAAATTTAATCATAGCCACACAATTTTTATTAAAACATGCTCTAATAACTACTATGATAAACAGTGGGTAATTTATAAAGAATAACCCTGTAGATTTCTCAAATACATTCATAAACACAAAAAAATAATCATATTTTTAGTATTTGTGCTATGTGGAAAGTTAAAATCGCAGTAAACACATTCTTTTTTTTTATTATACTATTTCTAATATGAAAACAATAAGTGAGTCACTAAGGAGTCAATGGTTTAGAGTACGATTCAACTTAGAAAAAGCCACGGGCGTCATCAACTAGTCATCGTCTGCCTCACTTTAAAATATTCCTTCTCCGTTGCTCCAGATCGATATACCAGTGGCGTAGGCTCTTATTTAAATAAGAATTAAAGCAGTTTCCCAACAAAAAACATTTATTGGATTAAAAAGTTAAATTTTAATGATTTAAATATTTGTATATTATCTAAATAACTAAACTAAAATAACATTACATATATTTTTCGACTTTAGACTTGCAAAACATTCAGTGGGAAGTAAATAAAAATAGCAACACAATTTTGTAAATTAAGATTTTTATTACAATTAAAATAATAGTTATTTATGCAACTAGTGCAAAAAGTGAAACTAGAGGAGTACATCCTAGTTCGTCCGTTAATGAACTATTATACTCTGTTTTTAAACCAAGAGGAGCGATTTGAATTTAAGTTGGCAATTCTGTACTTTTTAGCATGAACATCAGCTAATAATTGATATTGTTGACAGTTCTGACATTTTATAATTTGATATCTCATCCATTACTTAGTTTTTTACTTTATTTCGTAAATAATAGTTCTTCAGTAAGCAATTGTATTGAAAATCTACAATTATGGATCCTTCTACACTGAGTACTATTAAAGGTAGCAATTCCTGAAAAGCCTTACAAGAAAGGGAAGACACATAATTTTACATGCTGATTCTGAAGGTTTTGTAGAAAATGCATTATTGGTTTTTGAAGGTAAAAAGATGGGAAATTACCATGAAGAGATGAATTCCGAAGTATTTTAGAAAAAAATAATTTTATTACTGATTTTTTAAAACTAAAAATTGATGAATTTCTAACCAAAATGATTAAAATGTAACTAAATATTCAAGCAAATTTTATTTATTAGAATAGAATAAAACTATTTACAAAATTGTTATAAAATTTAAAACACCATCTACTACTTTAGGGATAATCTTAATTTGGCACAATGAGTTAACATTATTTTCACAAAAATATTTTAAAATACTTAAAATTAATACATAGGTAAATATGAATAGTTCACTTTAAAAAATATATGTTGACATGTAGTGGTATGAAAATGTTGGTTCCAGTTTTCAAAACAAATTCTGACTCATAGGCCTGTAAACTTTTGAATGCCCTTATTTGCCCTCTAGCGCATTAACCATGGGTTAACACTAAATAAGCCATAATATCCACATTACTCATAGAAGAGATACCAGTTACTGTGTGATCCACTTGTCATTCACTGATTAACTTTTACTTTTTATACCTATAACAAATTATCCTTAAAAATGTAAACAGATCTTTATATTTTATACTAACCTGGCTACATCTGGATTTTCCATTAACAATTTTCTTAAATATTTACTATCCATTTTAAAAAGATCATAGTTATTCTCAAAAAGTCGATTTCAAAAGCAAGAAAAAAGTATTTCTGACATCAATCAACAACCATATTGACTTTAATTTGACAGTGACATTTCGTTTTAGACACACATTTCAGATCACAATAATGTGAAATTTGCGACCGTTGTCTGGGACCAATTAAAAAATTACTTCTACGACATTTATTCGTTTCTTGACCGCTCATTGGCCGTTCACCGACTAAGGCCGATAAAGATAATTATTTCATAAATTTTGAACACGACTGTATTTCGAAACTCGCTCTTAGTAACAAATCTAGTTACTTTTCCCTGTGTAAATGCGTCTTTTCAATTCGCTCCTCCTAGTTTAAAAACAGAGTATAGTACTCTCGCTGTCTTCACTTTCTTCCGATGAACCCGTATTTTTGTTCGTAAGTAAAAGCTTGGCAACGCCGAAGTTTGGCTCACAATAATAAGGGATCCATGTTTACGCGATAGATTTTGTTCGAATTATATTCTGGACCATGCGGCAGTCGTACAGCGTTGCCAAATTATTAAGCAATTGATTCTCTATATTAGAAAAACGAAAAAAATCGCCAAAACGCCACTGACGCTTAAATGGGATGGACCTGAGAGAGAGGCAAATTATTGCGGCCTTTGTCAGGTATGATGTGTGTGGCTTTTTCTTAGTTGAATCGTACTCTACATTAGACAAACCGACTTAACAAGAATTAAAATTCCTCATGGATTATGCACAATGTGATTAATGAGGTAATAAGCACAATGGAGCACATAAATTAGAAGTGATATATACAGGTCGTTTGTTTGAATTTGTTCCGTGTTAAAATTCTGTACTGGGTGTGCCATAGGATTCTGATTAGCTAATATTCTAGTTATTTTACAATTTTTAAATATAGCTTATATGGGATGAAACAATATTTTAAATCATGCACTCAAATTAAACTCTTGTTGAACCACCTCTAACATTATTTTTTTTAATTGGCACACCATTTTTTGTTTGTTAATATGACACAATATTTCATCCTCATTTCAGTGATATATATTTCAGTCCGTTTTTATCCAAAAAACTTTTTAAACCCACCATTTTAAAGGAAATGTAATCTACTTTTTTAAGTAAAGCAATGTCTATACCTATCTTTCTGTTAACAATAACTAAATTTTGCTTCGTTTTCTAGATACATATAATTAAAAAATTGTAAGGGTAATTAATAATAAATAATTTTTACTAACTCACGTAGACAGTTGGCGGCATATGGAACACTTTGTTATTTATTAAAAAAAAAAAAAAAAAAAATCATAAAAAATTGTGCATGGTCTAAAACCTAAAATACAACCATAAGATATGAAATTTTATGAGTCCTATACAGAGATATAACCATTCATTGATAAAATATAATATTCACGATGCCAAGATTCATTTGACAATCAATACGCTCCATTTGTAGGTCAGCGGCGAGGAGACGAAAGGTGAGAAGTAAGAGAGGGGATAAAGGAAGGATTTTATGCAGATACAACTTTATTTTATCAATAAATAAATGTGTAAGCGATGTGCGCTTATAATAAACAAGGTAGATATTCATGCCAGTGTAAGCACTGTTGCCACTTCCAACTTAACATTACTAGGTTTTGGAATTTATTGAAAATTATTACATCTAATTTAGTTAAATTTGATATAACTAATGATTCAAAATTTTCTGGGTTCAGTTGCAATAAAAAAGGTTGAATTATTTTTGATTTTTTAATATACAGGGTGGCGCATCGAAAACGAAACAGATACATTTACTGGCAGCTCAGTTCTTTTTTGGAAACACGCTCAGACCCGCCGATTTTGTTTTCGAGGGGGAGACAAAATTGGCAAAAAATCACGTTAACACGTGAAGCCCCCTAGGCGGGGGTGACACCCGA